CGTGCATGCTCTTGATTTATTGGGATTCATTGATCTGGCATGGAAAACCTCTTTGGTGCTGTGACCGGCGAGCCAGTGGCTTAAATCAAGAACGGCACATTTTCAGAGCTTTATTTAAGCTGATACAAAAGAGATAAACATTATTAGGAATAAATGGAAAATCTCTTTAAATGTATTTCAGCGACTCACACTAATAAGGGCTAAAAATAGCTGAAGTGATGAGAGATTGGGTGATGCTGGGAGGTGCGAGCAGATAAACCAGATAACATCTGGACTGTTTACAGAAGGTCGTAGGTCATCTGTGGCACCAGCAGTAACAATGCATCTGGTAAAAATTTAATCTGATGGTGCATGTGGAATATCTTTTCACACCTCATCTCTTCCTCTGCTCATTCTATTCCTTCTTTCGGGACTCTTCTCCGTTTGTCTCTCCACACTGCTCCCCCCCGACTCCCACAGGACAGGAGGTGATCCCTCTTGGCATTAATGTCACAAGAAATAATAACGTCCTCGACACCAACACCCCAGAGCCCCGAGGACTCCTGTAACATTACCCTCACATCAGACGATAAAATGAGTAAAGAAGAAAGAGGTTGGATCTTTTTACCACTCAACTCTGACCTTTCAATAATCAAGGGAAAGCATCAGCGCTGCAGTGACAACTAAAATCCTTCCCTCACGTCCATCTGATCTACTGCTTCATCTCGGAAAAACTGCCGTGCACTCTAATTTCTCCTGGATGCAATAACGACAATGGCCTTCCTCACAATGAGCTTAAACCCTCTGCCTCCCTTTTAACCTTTTAAACTCATCCCATCAATCCAGACACCTTCCCTCTCCCAATCCCCCAGTTCTCTCTCAAGTGTTTTAATCCAACCAATCGAAGCAGCACTTCAATCAAGCTGCAGCCTCTGTGTCAATGAGCCGGAATAACCGAACATGTGAAATGTCTATGACATCATGGTGATTGACAAAAACAACAAAAGGATCCTTAAAGTGCCTGTGAGCATTAAATGGTCCGAGCAAATTAGGGATGAGTCTTAAAAGTAGATTGCAGGAGACAGTTACTGTGTCAACACTGCATCCTGAAGGTCTGACAATTCCAGCTGTCTGTGTGTGGAACGCAAATCCGTTCATCTTGTCAGCTTTACACTATGTGTATTGTTAAGGGAACAAGGAAGTGCAGAGTCGATGTCTGTAGGACTTGGACACAAAATACATTCATGTTTATACACTTTGAATAAACAGGTGAGCAGCGTTCTAGCAGTGGCAACAACAACTGATTCTCCAGTTCTGGGTTTTACATCCTGACAAGTTTCACTGATCATGTGCAGCAGCGGTGGTGCAGCTTCAGGGTCCTGCAGCCAGTATTTACTTGAAGCAACTCAATTGCTGGAGGTCACTTTAACAGTTTCAGAAAGAAAGCTGCAGCCAGCATCACCACAGGCAAACCAAACAGCCCATTTCAAACGGGCAGGTTTAGAACGAGCACTGCATTTATGATTCAAATGTAAAAAGGAAGTACAGTAGTGAATCATGTGCTAATGCTAAATTAGAAACACATTCCTTTTTTTATAATTGTGCAAATAGACTAAAGTACAAAAATACAATTTCTCAGCATTTCTATCTTTGGCTTTGCTTGATAATCCGGCGATGGATGGGAATCCCCATTCTGTGAGGATAATGGCAGCCATCACTGTGGGCACATTCCTCTCCAGACATGAGATTGAATTTAATGAAGTCACGCCTATTAGAGTGCGCCTCCTTTACAATGTTACTGTCTCATTGTGGGGGTTTAATCCTGTAGACTGCACCATAGCAGTGAAATATGTCTTATCAGTGCTTGGGGGCGAACATTCGAGTCTTTGGCAAGAGGAACAGCCCGGCAGGGTTCAAACGTGACATATTTAACCAGCTGAAATGATGTAACTAAATGGTTGTGAATGAGCTGATCTGTGTTCAGAGACAAAAGACATTTCACACCAAGTGAAGCTTCCATATCTGGGGAGTTACGCCACTTTCTTCTGTTTGACTTGCCAGCACCAGCAGCTATAGTGCTGCTGTTCAAGCTGTCAAGCTAAACAGATCTTTATTTTATGGAGGAACCTTGTAAATATGCAGGGCCAAACCCAAACGGCAACAGTAACAGCCAAACTGTCAGTTGCATTCAGAGAGGAAATTAAGTTATCCAATCTCATGACTCAATATGTTTTACAATGCTGTGCCAGAAAAAACAGCACAATCATTCACCATTGGTGTTGAATTTACTCTCATTAAGCTTTTCTCCTTCTTTAACAGACTCTTTCTCTTCCACCATTCTCGTCATCTCCTAGTGCCTCACCCTCCTCCTCCCTCCTCTACCAGCCTGAGCTTTTGGGCTAATTTGAAACCCTGGAGACAAAGACCTCTTTCAGGCCCCGTCAGTCTGGTCACAATGCCAGCCTCAGTGCCCAGGCTCCCTCCATTTACCAGCCACACACGTTCCTCCTAGCACCCAGAAGTACCATTAGAAGGGTGTCATTATCGCCCATACATGGGGTGATTTACACTCCGGCATCTTTTATTTAGCCAATTACAGCTGGCATTGGCCATGAAGGGTATTTAAGGGAATGGCACCTGCAGAAAGGCCATCATGCAGGCCACCAGTGAAACACCCGCTTACAATAAAGCTGTAGATCAGGGAAAC